ACTAACCATTTTACTGTCCAGAGTTGTTATAGCAGTTGGCGTTGAAAATCACTTAAGCATGGGCACGGTAACATATATATTTGAGTCAAAGTTTTATTGATCTGCAATCTGTTATTAGTTAAACGCATATAATTGACTTCACTTAATTTAAAAGCTAGACATTATATCTTCAAGAAAAAGCCACATGCGATGCAATACAACCCGATGAATTACAGTGAGATGCAATTTTTTCGCGTGTTATATATTGGTACGACTTTCTCAAAAGCATTACAAAACACATTCAAGTCGCAATGGCCACGACTCTGTTTTAGTAGTAGAGCCACATGGGATTTTCAGTCTAATCTATTATAAGAATTGAAAAAAAGAAGACAGTGCTGCTAATCTATGTTGTTTTCTCTTGAATGTTTGAACATGCTCTCTGAATTCCCTGTCACGGACATCATCACATTACAAATTTCTACGGTGAAATTACATTTTGTCAGGTAGAGATTATAACAGGTTAAAATCTCCGGTAAATTGACAACCACATAACTACCAATAGGAACAGACTATTTTCGTTTGACGTGTTTGACAAATACTTAATGTGCAGAAAAGATTGTAGAACCTAGACGTGGGTAGTACTAACCCAATTTGGACAGAGAAGGTTATTTTTTATAATATAAATATCCGTTCTTCTTTTTATTTTCTCACTCAGATACGGCGGTATGTGCTTACCTCTACTGCTCCTGGCCTGTCTAGTCTGTCATCCAACGACTTGGGACCGACTCTTAAATTCGCGGAATTTGGCCTCTCCTGCGTGAGCCATACAGATCCCTTCATCAGAGCACACGCTGGGGAGCTCTGTGTTCGTCTGGCCTACCAGCAGAAGTTGCCGCTACAATGGACCGCAAAGCTTAACTTTGTCACAAATGATTCCACGGAGGACTGTTCCGATATGGTTAGTACATTTTTTCCGGACCGCATTTCCACAGATATTCGGGCCCCAAGTCAACCAGCAGTGTTTTCTATGGCTGCGTCCCCTGTCGGCGGACATGGTTTCAGCGGCAAGGCCAATTGAGTAATGATATTGGATCAAATTGGTGCATAGCTGCCGTCTAGCTTCCCATTAAATCCACCTTTGTCCTAGAAATCAGCAAAGATTAGCCACCAAAGACGCCTGGCATGATAGTACTCTCACGTATACATTCACCGGCCGGTATCACGAAACGTAAGCCAAAACTCAAGAACGTGTCAAAGTAAATTAAGGTTTCCCCGATTGCCTATAAAAATCACACTCGCTAAGGAAGGACCACTTCAGAAGAAGAACATTTGCCGAGTTATGTTTATTTTCTGTCTGTCGTTTTTGGGTAGTTGTTTCTTGTTACTGTGGGCTATAATGTGGTCCGGCCAGATAATAGGCGATTGAACGTATCCCAAAATTTATAAGCTAGTAGAAAGGATAATGCGTGAAAGGCCAGATTGTTAAAGATAATTAAATGTGTTGTAACAAGCGTCGAATGTAAGAAATATGCAAGTAACTCCCAGACAAGTGCAGTCCAGCCATGAGTGGGCTGGAGTCCAGAGTCGCATTCCGGCAAGTAGATCAC